TCAAGTGGAGATAGCGCCTTTTGATTTAATTCGGAATCCGGGTTAGCGCATTAAATCAAAGGGAATTACATATAGTTCCTTTTGATTTTATTCGTAATCGCTGATTCCCTGTTTTGCGATTTTTCAGGGGCTGATTCCAGGGGATGAAATTAGTATTTTGGGGGCATATTTACGTGTGAGAGCAGCCTATTACATGGAGAATCCAGATCCGTTAAAAACTGAAATTTGGAAATTTGGCGCTTAGTTCCCTTTCGTATAAATACGTCCAATCGAGTGTCTCGTCTCGTCGCCTCGTGCCAAGCCAAGAAGGGGCGGCATGACCGCGGAAAATGAGGAACTCGCGCTCACTCTATTTCACAAAGGAAAAGCAGAACAAACCCGTAACATTTCCCTGATTCCTTTTTTCATTAATTTAATTATGACGCCATATTCAAATCATTTTGAAAAAGAAAGGAAACTTACGAGCCAAGGTTGCGAATTGAATCAGTGAGTTCGAAAACACACCAGTTACGGTTTAGTGATACTTATGGATTGAAGCATCTGCATGCAAAAGGAAATCTCGAAATTGCAATCTGAAGTGCTCGAAACAGCGACGGGAAAAGGGGAAAAATCGAAGTATTTCATTGGAAATATCAATTTTTGGCCATTTAAAGGGGAACGGGTCCATTCGATTTTGCGATTTTCTATTTTCGGTTCAGTCTACCTTGTACCAACAAGTTATATAAATTTTCAAGCGTTATACAGGTCGAAAAATATAATTTTTCTCAGGGGAGACTATGAACAAGCAGTAAGCTCCAACGCATTCGCGTCGGAAAGCGGCTCTGGCGACGGTAGTTGCAGTCAAGAATGAGGGCCTAGACACATTTTGTCATTGATGTACAATCCGACAACTGTCGATTCATGTTTTGTAACTTAGCAGATTTACAAAGCCGGTGTATAAATGTGTATTGGCCCTTGATATGCAGAATGCATGGTACTATCACTTGTTGTATACTTTTAATTTTGAAGGGGCCCGTTCGCCAAAACTAATCGGAACTTTATGAATAAATTGCTCCATTTAAAAATCAAAACAATATCGAATTGCGATATATTACACGGATAAGATAGGGCTATGTCCTATCGTAAGCGGCGACATAGAGTCGATGTCATTTCAATAATCGCCCCGATGGCCACGATAGTTGTTAAACGTTTACGGTTTCCGTGGTAACCTTTGTTTGCTATCAGCTGATATCGAGTAATATGCCTAGGAAGCTCCAACCACTGCATTATTCCAAAAAACCGCGAAAACTTTAAAATTCAAAATTTCAAATTTTGAACGTAAAGTACATTTTTTCCATCACGAGATTAAAGCACAGACAAGTTTTGAATTATTGACTGTATCAGTGTATCACCATGATTCCAAAAATACACTACACAACATAGCATTGGCTAACAATAAAACAATATGCAATAAAATAAAGTCATGACAAGGTACATAGTCGAAAATGGCGCCGATTCCCATCAACCAACGCGCGGTCTCTCCAATGTAACATGGTCCATTGATACTCCCCAGCTGGGACCGTCCGGAAAAGCAGCTCTAGTGCAAGCACCAGAGCCGCTAAAATCAGTATCTGAAAGTCGGTGAGAACGAAAAAACACCAACTCGGAAATTTTTAAACGCTTAATTCTCTGTCCTATCAAACATAGGGTATCGATTTGAACTTGGTGCTTTACAAAGTCTCTACAACGGTCCGTTTAAGTGGTATAAATGAGAGGGGGGGGCCTTCCAACGTATAATAAAAGCATCCAGCTTTAAAATAAAAAGTGGTGATAATATTTTTAATGGGAAAAAATGTTCCACCATTCCTCAGGCTTTCTCCGTTAATTTCTAAAAAAATGGGGGAACGATGGTCTAAGTGCGGAACCACGTATCTCCACTGCGGTGTTTCAAAATTTCTACTCCTGTTTTATTTTTTCAAAGGAAAACAAAACAACTTTATAGCTTGAATCGTTTACAGAATATTTTATAACACAGAAGACAAATCAAGGAAATTTTCCAGAAGATGGGTTGAAAAGTTTTCCAAGAAAAAATAAAGTATGACTGGAAGTCTACGACGTCGCTAACGGAGATACGTGGTTTCGCACTTTGACCATCGATATTTGGCAATAAAAACCTTTGCCACGTACTATCTTTTTAACCCACTGTGCATTTTTTTGTGTCTCCTGAACGTATTAATTTTTCTGAGTTGGTGTGTTTTAATTTTCACTGATTCATCAAGTATGGTATGGTGGACGGTATTGATAGACTACCCTCATTTCCGATTAACGTCAACAATTTTGCGTTTGAGTCAGTACATAGCTGAAGTTTCGTGAGAGAGGTAAAAAGCTCATTTAAGCATAAAACGCCTCTTCGAAGCTGTCCTGTTCGGGTTGACCTTACGACCAAGCAGTGAGGCAACTGTGGATGTGTTTCGTAAATCTCTGTGAGAGAAAATTGAGCTCTGATGAGCTTTTTCCCTACTCTATCGTGAGAATTTCTGTTTTATACCGAATTTAACGCACAGTGGCAAAATTACCATCAGCAGTCTATCTAAACGGCTCGTGAGTCCCGTATTCAGAAGGGGATTAGTGTTTGTCTTATAACTGTCTCTTCAAAGAAAAGTAAAACTTGCCTCACTCATTGCTTACATAGTCGGCCCGAAATCTCTATGGTTCTCAGAACTCGATTATTTACGACCGAAACGGGGAATGGGGTTTATGAATGAACTCAAAATGCTGCTAAGTTGCTATCATGAAAGAGTCTTATTTCGATGGCTCAACTCTAAGAAAGAGCAGAATCTATAAAGACCTGTGACTCGACAAGCTTTTACGTGGATCCCTGGTAAAAATTGGCGATAAGAGCTGCGTTTCAAAATACCATAGGAATTCTTATAGCCGGCTAAAAAAGGCTACAGAAAATCATATAGCTGGCTGTAGAATGCGGAGAAAATCATACGGCCGGGCTATACGAAGCGATAAAAAATTATGCACCCGGGCTACAGTTCCAATCGCCGGGCTTTACACTTTATCGCCTGGCTGTTGCTTTTTCGCCATCGATAATAAAAGGCTATAAGAAATTGTGTAGAAATTTGTGTGCTTTGGAAATCATTCAGTTTGATACGGAACCACCTTAATATTTACAAAACACACATTATATTTTCCTTTAATACATATTTTTTTCATCAATTAAAATGAGAATAATCCATACAGGATGTGCAAACATTTCAAAATCATGAGTTGAATGACGCTGACTCCGCCAGATTAAATATTAGAGCCTAACACAAAGCGGAGCGGCGACGCACTGGCGCCTACAAACCTAACAGGGATACTTCACGCATTGCGCAACGCGTGAAGTATCCCTGTTAGGTTTGTAGGCGGCAATGCGTGTTTCGCGCTGGCTGCCCGCCTGCCACGGCGCTTGAAGCAACTATTTCACACCAGAGGTATTGCACAGTATCATACGAAACTGAAGGCGCTCTAATATATTAGTAATGGCAGGCATCCATCAAAAGTACGGAGCTTTCCTCGCAAAATAAATCAAGATATTACGGCCCAAAAAGAGAGCAGTATTCCAAAAACTCACTAAGTCCTAGCATCCGTAATTAGTAACGTTATAAGCATACACTTTATCGCCTGGCTGTTGCTTAATCGCCATCGGCTATAAAAGGCTATAAGAAATTGTGTAGCCGGCTATAAAAGCTATTGGAAATCTTACAGCCGGCTGTAGGTCTAAGGTATTTTGGAACACAGATTCTACTGCCAATTTTTACCAGGGGAATATGAGCAGCAACGCAGTCTCCTGTAAAACACTTCAATGGCGTCATCAAAACTATCCAATGCGGTATGGTAGGTACAGGTGCGTACCACATAGTGTCTTCCACCTTTTTATTATTTTTGTTACTCGATAAGAAACCTTCGGGCTGATTGTTGAACTTTATAGACAAAGCGATAGACAAAGAAGACATAGGGAGTATAAAGCGATCTCATTAGTTGAACCGGGTGGTTTTTATAGACTAAGGGGGAAAATGATGGACTCACTGTCGGGTCTCTTGTCGGTTACCATTAGTTAGTCGTTTACCTACCTCTTTTGTCCACTGCAGTCCCCCACTTCCACCAATAGAATCTCCAATCTCCCCTTTTTCCCTCATTTGTCTTTATCTAAAGCTGTGTCTATCCTGTCAATTTCAATAATCAGCCCGCAGGAACGGGTAAGCAGTCAAACGGTAAACCAGTTACCGAGAACCTTTAAACGATGCTGTGAACGTGTCGATAGGTATCGCTTCTTTGAAGTTCGCTTTAAGTTTTCCTGCGTAGGCAATAAACATACCGCAGAGTGCAAAAAGTTATCCATTCGAAAAAACACTCATAATTTTCTTGTCCAATTCAATTAATAATCTTTGAAACCTGTTAAATTGTAATCCCTTGAACCGTTTGTGACAATTATAAAGTCTAAAGCCGGGGAGGCAATCAGGAATAGATTTTACATGGCGCTGCTCTGGGTATATACGTAGAGTACGTAGATTAGAGTACACTGGGGAAAAAAAACACATTGGATCTAGAGTCCAGACTCTTGAAAACATTGACAAGAAAAAATACTCTTGATTGAATCAGATTTAAGCTTAAATCAAAAGGAAATCCGCTCAAATTAAGAGACTTGATTCTTGATTTAAGCAAAAATCCGGTTGGATCAAGAGTATTTTTTCTTGTCGATGTTTTTAAGAGTCCGGACTCTAGATCCAATGTGTTTTTTTTCCAGTGTATGTCGCCTGCGACGGGGTTACCTTTGATCGGAGGGAAGAAGTAAGGGGTGCAGTTGCAGTGGCTGTAGATGGCGGAGAGGCGGCATCTGGAGTAGCAGTTGCTCTCGTCGTTGCCGACGAAGGAGGGCGTGTCGGTGGCGACGTCGTACTCGTGGATGAAATAGCAGCCTCGGACCTCCTCGCTGAGCCGAAGAAGGGACGAGTCGCCCAGAGTCACCGCCGCCAGCACCGTGATACGGGTCACCTTCTGGGCATCCGTGTGCACCACGAAGTTGGATGACACGTCTGGGAAGTCCTCCGGGCTGTGGATTATCACCTGAGTGAAGACATCAATCAAAATCCATATTGACTCTAGTCTGACAAACTTGGGTCTCCTCAGTCTTGACATACGTTGGATGAGGATGCACTAGACATCGGAAGGAACAGAGGTATAAGAAAGGAAAAGAGAAGGTGGAGAACAAGGAAAAGGAGACGAAGACGAAGATGAGGAAGAAGAAGGAGTAGAATGAAGAGGAGAAGGCTATGAAGAAGAAGAAGAAGGAGAAAGACTAGCTGAAGGAAGAGAAGAAGACCGGTGAAAGGGGATGATGAAGAAGGAAAAGAGGGCGGAGAACTGGAGAAAGATGAAGAAAATAAATGAGAGGAGGAATGAGGAGAGAAAGAAAATGTAGAAGTAGGAAAAGACGATGAGAGCTAAGAAGAAGAAGATGAAGAAGAGAAATATGAAGAGGATGATGAAGAAGAGAAATAAGAAAAGGATGATAAAGTGGACGAGGGATATGGAGGAGAAGAAGAATCAGAAGAAGGTGGAGAGGAATAAGAATAAGAAGAAGAAAAAGACGAGGTATAAGGCGAAGAAGAATAAGAAGAATAAGAAGAAGAAGACAAAGAAAAAGGAGATGAAGTAGAAGAAAGAAAAGTAGTAGTGGTGCGACGGAAAAGAAGGAAAGAAGAAGAGAAGAGAAGAATAAGAAGATGATAAATGATAAAAAAGAAAAAAAGAAGAGAAGGGAGAAATGGAAGATGAATAGAAAATCATAATGTGACACTGCGATTTCATATTTGGACATAAAATTCTTGTCAAGTTCAGAACTTCACATTCTGAAGGTTAAATTAGGAGTCGCAGTAATTCCGAGCTGGCATGTTGGAGCATTGGACTGAAAAACAGAAAACGAAGGGTGTGACACATATTGACCTCCAATGCGACACCGCAATTCTATATTTAAAGCAAAATATTGGTCAAGTTCAGGAGTAATCCCTCTCGATATTAAATCTGGGTTGTATAGTCTCGCGGCTCTGCAAATGTTTTAGCGAAGGGATGAAAGAAAGGTTAAATCTTATGATGAGGAGACATCAAAGCAAGCCGCGGGGTAAAAATTAAGCTCGCGTCAAATGAAGTTGAGTGCGGGGTGAAGTTCTAGGTTGCCACGCGCTCCAGACATAGCCTCCTTTATTTAAAATATCTACCACAAAAGAGAATTAGTCTGCTGAAAAATCTAAGAGATTTTTGCTTTAAAGACTTAATTTGATTATTGTATACACAAATGATGAATTCTTTCTCAAAACCATATAGATGGCAGTACACTCTTACTGCTGATATTCGCCCATTATGAAAATTCAAATCGGGTCACTCTCGATTGAAAAATTGAGTATTAAACCATCGTATCCCAGGCAGAAGAACAAAACCTTATTTGAAAATCACAAAATTGGCTTAAAAATTTGAATTAATTACAAAATTAGGAGAGTAATATTTTTCAAAAATTGGCTAACTTTTTCGTACAATTCAGGAACTGTAAGTGAAATTTTTAGTAAAAATATACAATGGTGTCCTGGTAAAAATACAATTAAAGAGGTTTCGCAATCTTGAAATGGACCGCGTTTAGCAGAAAGGAACCAAACCACATTAGCCATTGCCAAATTTCACGGGACAATTTAATTCTTTTCTTGTAAAGAATTTCTCGTTCTCTTGATCTTTGTTCGGATTCCATTGAAAATTAAAAGGAGTTTGCCTCGTACCATGCAGAAAATTAACTGGAATTTGCACAAAAACCGCACAACAGTTTTCATGTAAAAAAGTAGACTGCCCAATTACATTTGGCAATAGCTGATGTTGCTCGGTTCCTTTCTGCTTAACGCGGTCCAAATATCGTTACGTTCTTTAGCCCTGTGTCCACTCATCAAAGTGGAAGCTTAAAATGAATCGATAAATACGATCTGTTCGTGATTGCTGATCAAAAAAGAGTCGCGCCGCTCTATTTTGAGTTGCAACACTCATCAATCGCATCAAGTCCCGACTTCGAGCCACTTATCTTTGAAATCGATTCACTTTGAGCTCCCATTTTGACGCCATTTTGACGAGTGGAGACAGCGCTTTTGATGTGAGAAACGACGAGGGGACCGCGAACCTAGCGGCAACGTCACCAATCCACGCGAAGTCTCCTCCCCAACTAAGTTAAGGCGAGGGTTTGAGGTTCCTGCAACCCTCTCGATTACGTCATATTATGAGCGCTGTTGCTTGTGATTTGTCGACAAATTTGATGGTGTGAAACAACGTCCCCCTCCCCTGCTGGCGCCCAGAGCCAGGAAGCGAGGGTAAATTGGGTTGATTTGCCCCGTTCACGGACTCTTGACCAACACGTTCGCTCTGATTTCACACGTGCTCCCGTGCCAGTTACGATTAGTATTGAATTGACCTAACTCCATCTCCAAAGTTAAACTTGTTTTCCAAACTTGTCGCCTTGACGGGGATTAAACCTCAGCGTGAGCGGAACGTATTTGAAAGTGTTGATGACGTCGTGTGCTCCATCCACAGATGTATTTCCTTCTCACACGTTGAACTTGAGGAAACCTCTCGATGGCATAAGTGCAAAACCACGTAACTCCGTTTGCGACCCTGTAGACTTCCTGTCATACTTCATTTTACAACTTCCTTGATTTTTCTTCTCAATCCATTCCGTATAATTTTAAGGTATGAAGTTGGCTTGTTTCTCCTCGCAAAAAGAAAATTAGAGCAGATATTTTAAAACACCGCAATTGAGGTATGTAAATTTGTACTTTAAAAATCATTATGATGTTTTATTTTCCTTACTGCTCATTTTCTTTGGCTTATAAACAAAGGGTCATGCTTTACATAGCACGCTGTGACGAAAGGCGGATCATTCCTAAAGTAAAAGTGCATCTTTGCTTGACAACGTAAAATAGTCCTTCCGGTAGTCTGATAGTATCCCTTAATTTTTACCTAAGGGTTAAGATCCCTAATTCCAAAATGTCTCACCATAATTGAAACTATTTAGTATTAATTCAATATAATCGAAGCTTTCTGTTTCCTCGATGTGAGCTGGTCAGTTCTCTCGCTAAGCTTGCGAACATTGCGGATTAAAGAGATGAATCCAAAAGTCCATTTTCAGTCATTCATGGGTATTGACGCTATAAAGTTAGATACGACTAATCTAAGATAAATCTTAAACAGAGTCTAAGATGCGGTAGAAGTTTATACACGATCCGCGCATGTAATTTGATCAAAGCCGGAAGGTTAGAAATAAAGTTAAAAGCTAAGATCAAACAAAAGCCCTTAAATTGAATCATCTCCTTCCCGACACTTTCAAACTTTATTTCTTCCGGCCCTGTTTCTTGCCACTGAAGTTCAAGCTTCAAGGTAAAATCAAGGACGGACGGATTATAATCAAGAGCCCTCTGTAAAGTAAACAAACCGCTCGCAGAGACTTAAAACGTTAGAATTATCAACCATTTTTTATCGCTGATAACGTCAAATCTCATATTTAAATATCACTTCCTGTAATGGAATCTATTTTCAAAATGAAGTTTTCAAGAGAGCTTTGAGTATAAAAATAACGGTCACAATCTGATGTCTTACTTTTTTTTCTCATATTATTAAAGGTTGACAAGTGATCCTAAAAGGTCACCTGATGTTTATTTCAGACGAAGTTAGAGTATCTAAAGTTATGACTACTAAGCTTCATCGCCTGATATATCTCATCAATCTCCAAAGAGATTCACAACTCTAGAGAAAGTTCGTAATTCAAAATAAACCTCTGAACAGTGCAAAATGAGCGTTTAAAATTTTCATATAACACAGAGGCGAAATTAGCTATACAAACCGGACGGCCAAAACAGTATTTCCTTCCAATGACAAACACGAAAAGAACGATGCCGCCATTACAAAATCATTACACTACAAAAAAAAAAAAAAAAAAAAAAAAAAAAAAAAAAAAAAAAAAAAAAAAAAAAAAAAAAAAAAAAAAATTAAATAACATCCGAATTTCTGAATCATTACAATGCGGATACGTATTTTTCCTTTAATTATGGTAAAAACTGGAGCAGAAAGTCAAGAATGATGACACGCAGTCCTACAGCTTTCCTGCAGTCTTGTAGGCGCTAATATGCGTTTCAAGCCAACTGACCGACTGCACTACGTTTGGCGCAATGCCAGAAGTATTCATGCAGTCTTGTAGGCGCTGATATGGGCTTGACACCGACCGTGTTGTTTTACGCAATGCGTGAAGTATTCTTAAAGTCTTGTAGGCGCTAAAATACGTCTAACGCCGGCCGCGCTGTGTTTGGCGCGTTTTTTCGAATTCGCGTTAGAATAATCATGGCATTGAATAATACAGTTTAAAAAGCCCATGTTGTGTTTTGATGCCGTATGAGCATTCCAACGTTGCCTCGTTTCTCCCGATGAAATATTGTTTCCAAGGCAAGTTAGGAAAGTTCTTTATACCTACGATCATTATTTAATCTTTTCACTTCATTAATCATCAGAATGTAAGACATCGATAACTTGTTAACAAACTAACCATAATTAGCGTTTATACATAAACATGTCTTTATTTTCCGACTGTTTCCTGTTTTCCAAAACTTCTACCTAAAATTGACTTAATTTTAAATTCGCACATTCCTGTAGCAGATGTTAAAGTTGCTTTTCGTGCAATCCTCATATATTTCTTAGACCTTTCGCGCAATCCTAAATTACCGATTTTGATCAGTCGTAACTATATTGAATATCAAATGGAGATAAATTAATTAAACTAGCAAGTTAAGGACGTCATCCGATTTTCCAACATTTCTTTCCCCAAGTTCAACTTTCCGCTTCATTTTCGTTCATTTTTGTCCGCATCATTTCTCATTCTCAAAGTTGGTAGCAAAGTTCGATTTCCAGGTTTTCTAGTGGCGCAACTTTATTTGGTAGGCCCTCAGAGAGATATACCTGCGTTTCTCTCACCTTGGTTCTCTCATGCAGAGAAAATTTAAGATTAAAGTTACGAAGTTGTCACCTTTTCACCAGTTAAAATATTTCTGCTGATTCAAGATTTCCTCTTACTCACGGTGCAAGATCTTAAAACCCGCCAGTGGAAACATTTTCGACAAGCACTTTACGCAACTTAACATTGCGTTTCTCTCACCTTGTTTCTCTCATGCAGAGAAAATTTAAGATTAAAGTTACGAAGTTGTCACCTTTTCACCAGTTAAAATATTTCTGCTGATTCAAGATTTCCTCTTACTCATGGTGCAAGATCTTAAAACCCGCCAGTGGAAACATTTTCGACAAGCACTTTAAGCAACTTAACATTAACGTAGGCAACACCATCAGGTTAGCTGCTAAATGTTTTGCGTTCATAGTTCCGAAGGGGCTGGTGTCGGAACGAGGGCTGTATCTGAGGACTCGGAAAAGGCGTGATGCGGACACAGTTGTGAGTGCTGGTGCGTGTAATGTGATTACGGTGACCCTTTTGGCGGTCGCGGCGAAAGAAGGAGACAGCATTTAAATTGACTCACGTTGTAGCCTCTGACCCTTTTGTCGTCAGCCAGGTACTCGTGGTCCAGCGACTTGAGCAGCACCTCAAATCCGGTGATTTTCCCGGCAGCGTTGTTCCGCAAGGCATGTAAAGTTCCGGATTCCGACATGTACGGCGGGTTTATTGATGACCTGCGGAAAACGAAAATTTACACATTTTTTTCGAAATTGACTAATGGATAAGTTAAAAATTACAACATTACAAAATATGTCTCTTTAATCACAATTTTGAACAGAAAAAAACAGGACTATCGTAGGGAAAAAAATATTGTTGAATTTAAAAAACAAAAATTTTAAAAAAATACAAATTCTCTTGAATTTGATTTTCTAAGGAGAAATTCTAAACATTCTACCACGTTGATAAAGTCACAAGATATAATATCGAACCCTTGGTTCAAATATAAACAAGCACAGAACAATGTATCTGACTCGCGCCCTTTGCGCTATAGTGGTAAAATGCGTCCAAGTGTTTCTAACAATCGACATTTTTTGTGTTTAAGAAGACTTTAGTTGATTTTGGACCAGTCAAGATTAAATTCATTAAATTAACAGGATTAACTCATGAAAAATTTGTGCAAGAAGTTATGTCAGAAACAAGAGTTCGATATTATATCAAATGACGTAGTCACTAAATCAGTCTATTTAGATTAAAATTTTGAATAATATCCTCAGAAAAAGTCAAGGAAAACGATTCAAAACTTCTCAAGGAAATAGGTATTTTGTCAGAGATTATTTGACTGCTGTCGTCGAACGCTCATATGGCGTTTTTGTTTAACACAGCAGAGTATCTTTTGCGTGCAAAAACCGCAACAAACCCATCGGGTAAAGGCAAATTCTGCCACCGATTTGAGTTTGTTGAATCCCGGGAAAAAGCTTCGCCTACACCCGATCACAATGCTAGGATAGCTAGGTCAGGTTCGTGGAAATGCTCAGTCCCCGGGGTTTCCAGCCGTGGAAAAGCTCATAAATGGGGGGAGGGGGGACTTTGCGGAGGGTTTGAAAGCGGCGGGCGGCGTTCACTCGTGTCGGATTTCTTTCGGGTGTCTGCATCGCATCGTCGCGCCGGGAATGCACCGCAGCGCGTCAAGTGTTTGTTTGGGTGCAAACGAGTCGAGAGCAAATATTTTTGCTCAAGTTTGTCTCCCGGCCTGAATCCGAATTAACATTCAAGGAGTCCAGAAAGTTCTCACTCCGGGCGGGAAAAGCGAATTCTCTCCGCGTCGTTCGTCTCATTCCACTGCGGAAAGATAGGCCGCTTTTCTGCAGTACTAAGAAAGAACGCCGTATGAGTAATCAGACGTTGCCAAATTTCCTTCGACAAATGGGCCTGTTGCAAACTTTTGCTAGAGCAAAACTAAGAGTTGTTTCTTACAGATAATGCCCTAAAAATCACGATGAGCGCATCGGCAAAGTCTGAAATTCACTCATAACTTCACAATCTGCGTAAGAAATTTGCGGTTTTTTGAGCTTCCCGCTTCGAAAACGATACTACGGTACAGGTGAACATTTTGTTAGAGGAGTCGTTCCATTGGCGGCAATACTCATCATGGCCGACGCCAGTCCGCCAAAACACGTGTGATGGGACGAGATAACACCTGAACAGGATTAAACCACATAACAATCGGCGTGTTTACGTTCATATTTTCCTCGCCCGCCTTAATTGACCTTGAACTCTCCTCGAATTACGCGAGGAACTGCGCAAGCGTCGGCCATGATGAATATTGCCGACGACGGAGCGACTCCTCTAACAAAATGTTCACCTGTGCAGTGGTATCGTTTTTGAAGCGGGAAGCTCAAAATAACGCAATTTTCTTACGCAGATTGTGAATTTATGAGTGCATTTCAGACTTTGCCGATGCGCTCATCGTGATTTTGGAGGCATTATCTATAAGAAACAACTCTTCATTCTGCTCTAGCAAAAGTTTGCAACAGGCCCATTACGAATTTCCAGGAAAATTTTTGAGTAGTTCTCTCCCACTTTTTCCAAGGCTTTCGTTCGTAATTTGATCTAAAAAGTCCGAAAAAATCGAAGAAAAATAATTATAAGTTTCTTCGAAAATAGATATTTTCTTATGGGACATTCGGCAACGTTTGAATTCTCATACGGCGTTTCGACTCGGCACGGCAGTCTATGACACCAACTTCTCGCCGGAAGTTAAGTGTGGGAACTTGTCTCGGTTTTTTCCGCCGCTCAATTTAGATACCCTATTATATTTCGATCGTCGCATGCTCCTTTGATTCCTTTTGTTTCCTCTCGTTTATCGGAGGGAAGTTGGTTTCCTTCGGGATGTGTTCCCTTAACGAAGTCCCGAAAGCCGCCCACCGAAGTCGTTCGGGCAGGAAACCGAGCCTCGAAGGAATTCGTCGTCTCCCGCACGAAGGAAAGTAACTCCAATCCAAAGTTGCCAAATTGACTCCAACAATTAATTTATTTTACAAAAATGTGAGTGTGCAATTTATATCCAAATTTGTCTGATTTTTGCATGAAATCGGAAGAAAAATCAGTGAAATTTTCAGTTAGAAATGCCCAATATTTTTCTGGTTAAAATGCAATTTACGCAAGGAAATTTGGCAACATTGAAATGTAGTTACGTTCTTTCGTGAGGAAAACGACGAATTGATCGTTGATTACCCTGCCGTTGCCACTGGAGCTCCTCGAGTTTGGCGATAAAATATTTGCAGGAAGATGACGATGTTGAATGCTTTTATTCATACGTCACACGTTGCGCGTGGTTAAATGTTGCACGAGCGTCATCGTGAACGGTTATAGCGCGGCATTTATCATTTGTCTTTCGTCATTTCAATGCATTTTTAATTTTTTTTTTTTTTTAAATTTTATTTCACTAACTTTAAATTTTAACTTGGAAGTCATCACCCAATATTCTCGCAAGCTACACTTTGCACCACGTTGGTCATAGAATTCGTAGTTTCCCGCACCAAAAAAAAACGCAACCCCATTCCTAGGTTCCAAAATTGACTCATACGATTCAATGTTTTTACAAGGATGTACCCGCGCAATCGTCCTCCAGGATTCGTCGGAGTTTTGCATAAGATCAGAAGAATAATAAGCAAAATTGTCAGTTAGAAATGCATACAATCTCGTGGTAAAAATGTAATCAGCGAAGGGTTTGGCGATATTGAAATATTGTTAGTCGTTTCGAGCGGGAAATGACTTTATCAACGTGGTAGAATGTTTAGAATTTCTCCTTAGAAAATCAAATCAAAGAGAATTTGTATTTTTTTTTAAATTTTTGTTTTTTAAATTCAACAATATTTTTTTACCCTTCGATAGTCCTGTTTTTTCTGTTCAAACCTATCCAAACCACATCAGCTATTGCCAAATTTACCCGAGCAGTTTAATTTTTCAAGAAAGGACGTTTGTCCGGCTTCCTTTGAAAATTTTGAGGAGTTTGCTTCGCACTATGCGTAAATGCACTGAAATTTGAAGAAAAATCTGCACAGCCATTTTCCTGTAAAAAAATCAAATTTGGCAATTGCTGATGAGGCTTGGTTCCTTTCTGCCTAACGAGGTCCAATTTAAAGGAAACAGATATGACAAGGTGGGAGTATGGCTCCTTCTTGAACGAGGATTTACAACCGCCGACTCCGCCCAGAAAAATTATATTCGTTCATCATCCAGTCTTCAGAATTCCTGATTGTCATACCATACGACACGGCAAGGAAATGAATCATGCTCACTCGCTAGCCGACGATCAAACCAGCCGGAGCGTTAAATTCAAAGCGCGGGCATGTATTTGTAAATAGCTTGGTTCCGTCATACATCCGCTTTCCGAAGCGTTGCCTCAGTTAAGGCTTAACTACCGAATTTAAATTTCCAAGTGCCGTGAATTTTTAAGGTAAAGCCGCAAGGTGGCAACACTGCGCAGTGCGGGAAAGTAGGAACAAAAGCTCCGACCTTGACTTAGTGATCCGAAACCTGCGAGTCTGCGAAAAACGCGTATCTCCTCTCGTTTCGGTGCTTTAAGTGGGTTTCCGCGAATCCTGGTGCAAATTTTTCGCGCTGGAAAACTCAGACGCTCAGCGGTTTGGCCGACTTCTCACGGTGTCTGCGGTTTTTCCTCGTTTGTTTGTTTATTCTTGAGAAGTGGGCCGCCTTTTTTCTTTGATTCGCAGTCGCAATCTTTTTGGTTTGGGAGCTGAAATTTCCGCCTCCTCTCTGTTACGTGAAGTGATCGATTGCCGCACGTGTATGTTGGCGATTTGAAGTCGAAGCCTCTTGGTTGCACTCTGAAGGTGAGTTCTCATTTTCGTTCCCACCCTCGTAATCGCTGAAATCTTAACTTCCCTCTGCTCGCATTCATTGAACTGCATTTTGCAATTTGGAACAATAAATTCTGGCTCTTCTGGAAAAACACTTATGTGCATAAGGAAACTAATGGCACATACGTTGTTTTCAAACCAGGCTAGAATCTATAGGTCCAAATTGCAAAATATGGTCTAAACGATTCGCCTACATATTTAGACGCAGCACACTGGACCGAGTCAATGGGAGAGGGCGGACAAAATCTGGAAACTCTGAAAGCCTATATTTTTGAAAATATGAAACAAAAAATTTCAAGAGTGGTTCTATTGGGTTTTTCGTGAAATTTCCTCGCTTAAAGACCCCTAAAAATTGAATTTCTGACTGTATTAAAATTGAAATTCAAGTCCGACCTCCTCTCAAGCTTGATCCACGGTGCGGGGTTCTAAAATAGACTCAGTTGTGGCGTTTCAGCAATATCCCAAATTACACAATATATACCATTCAGTATATAAGACACCAATCATATTTCGCGCCGAATTTTTCACTGAGGGTTGTTGCAGTTAGGGTAAGAAATATTCTTCGACGACCAATGCACGTGCTTCAATTACCGCTACGTATCAGAATTCTTTCCTCTATGGTGGCTGTAATCCAAGTGAACAGAATGACGGTGATACTAAGCTGCCATGCTAAGAGAAAACGCTTTATGAACCTTCAGGCGTTGCTAAATTTCCTATGATAAAACGCGAATTTCCTGGGAAACTTATGAATATTTTCCTCCCAATTTTTTAGATACTTTTGTTCGCAATTTCACCTAAAGATTCTGAAAATTTAAGGGAAAAATACTTATAAGTTTTCTCCAAAATGCACATTTTATCGAAGGAAATTAGGCAACTCTCGAATGTCCATACGGTGTTTTTTCTTAGCACGGCAGTATGGTCTGTTGGTGAAACGTCTCATTTCGAATGTATGATTCGCAATCATTGCGTCACCGGAATGTCAAACCTGGCGTCTCGAGTATCGTTTCAACCCCTTGACAAATCTATCGATAATTCAGCTGCAAAACCGAGGGGCACGCTTTGAATATTAATCTCATCAAATATGCATTCAATATGGGGCGCGGCGGAAACTCCTGGGAAGATACGAGAACAGAAACGCTTTAACCTATCAACTTCGCAGCACGTGCCGAAGCGTGGGAGAAACTTCCGACTTTACAGCGCAGTTTACTTAAAAGTAAAAGTTACTCGAAGAAAAAAGTGGCAAGATTTCCTATCGGCACGGCACTGCCAGTAATTTGTTTTGATCGCTCTAGGATTAGATTTGGTTGAAACAAGGAAACACAAAGTCAGCCCCAAACGGAACGTTACTCAGTAACCTGATTTATTGGGGGTATAATACCCCAATTCATCGGGAATGTCCAAGTTGCGACTTATCCCCTTACTCTTTTTTCCTTTAATAAAACAGAGGCGTGAATAAAAGTGTTTACAGTGGTATCTACGCATTTATGATGGATATACTGGTATCTAGTCATAACGAACTCGCATGCAAAGGAGAAATAATTCTGTTATCAGTGGTGGACCGTTCAAGGATTATGTAATTTACTTAGAGCAGAGCGGAAAGGGGACTGAGCTTGAATCACGGACAGTAGGTCTAGGAATAAAAGGTCTACTCAAAAAATGTCTACATTTTTTGGTCTACAGTCAAAATGTCTACAATTAAGAAGTCTACTTGCAGAATGCCTAAGAAAGTAAATGTCTACATACATATAACGCGTCTATGAAAGGAAAATGAATACACGATAATTATTCTCCACAGATACAACCAAAGAATTAACTGATGTGACTTCACTCTACCTATTCCATTCAGAAATGAACTTTCTGAGTATGGACTTTTTTTTAGAAGACATCATAATTTGTAGACTTTTTGCAGTGGACTTATTAGTTCTAGACATTGTAAATGTAGACCAAAAAATGTAGACTTTCTGCTTTTGGACATTTTCGCTGCAGACTTTCTGTCTGCATACCCCGAGCTTGGCTTATACGGGATCTTACAAGAAGGGAAGAGGGGTAGGCTTAGGCTTGTGTGAGCCTCTAATCATTAAATAAAAGTAATATTTTTCAACTATATTCAATTATTTAAAAAAAAAAAATAAAATAAGCAATTTTTTAAGGTTTATTGCGTTATTTTTTTTAATCGTTGGGGAAGGGATCAAGCAAGGCATACGTAATTCAAAGGATTGTGGCTTACAGCCCAGGGCCCACCTATGACTAACAGGTGGCTTTCAGGAGGAACAAAGGGCCAAAAATGGGCAGTTTTACATTAATAATAATTGTGAGTATTCGCAGAACTTTTCCGACTTTTGGCATCATTGTCAAGCCGCCCTTCACAACTCTTTGGATGTCACTTATACTTTGACAGTAAGACTGGAGCTTCCAGGCCACTGCGACAATACCTAATGGGATATAGAAAAAAGAAAATGGGAGAAGTCAAAGGCAATCGACTCCGCTGGAACAAAAGGAGAGAGAACAAAAGATATTGACCGTTGAAATTATTTTTCACTCTGCCGCTCAATTCCGAGTAACGTTATAGCGGGAGAACCCTGGATCTAATTAGAGGTTACGCGGCACTGAGGGCAGTGAAAATCTAAATTGGCGGCGGAAAAAGCGAAAAGCTCAAGTCAATTAAAATATCACGCTCTCGCCAGGGTAAGTTTTTCGGCGGTCAACCCCTTTGAAGTAGTCGACGGACGCTTTATTAATTAAGGTCACAAGAGAGAAAGGGGTGAAAACCCCATCGTCCGAGAATGAATCATTGAAAACGAGCTTTTTACAGTGGTTTTTTCTGAGCTTTGATATCTTTGATCTTGCACTATTTCATCGGAGGGTGGATCTACCTACCTCGAAAACAATTCTGTCGTGCTAAGGAAAAACGCCGTATGAACCTTAAGACGTTGCCAAATTTCGATTGATAAAACACAAATTTCCTGGTAAACTTATGAATAATTTTCCTCCAATTTTTCAGAAAATGTTGTTCGCAATTTTACCTGAAGTTTCTGAGAATAACAAGGAAAAATTTTCATGACTTTTCTAAAAAATAAACACTTTGTTGAGGGTAATTTAGCAACTCTGGAATGTTCATACGGGGTTCTTCCTCGGCACGGGAGAATTGATGTGACGTTTCGGGCCCTCTCTAACATTTTTCTATCAGAATACAGGCTATCAGGGCCGCTAATGAGTTACAGAGAATATCCTCTGTCTGCAAGTTTGATTCTGAGGCTTTTTATGTTTTATCGTGTGAAACGATGGCGCTGAAAACGCGAGGTTCCTGATAATTACTCTGTGCTACGTCATCGGCAAACGGCGGGCTCAGAGAGGTATAGAGTGGAGGGATGGGGGGTGGAAGAGTCCAATTTATACTACATTGCTCCTCGAATTGTTCGGAGTGAGTTTCAAATCAATCGTCATTTTGTCGCGGGGAGAGCGGAATTTTGCGGCGAAAGTCCCTCATTGAGAGGAACAGAACCGACACGATGAGAGAACAACGCGGTAACATGAAATTCGACAGTGTTGTCGAACATCAAAACGATTACGAAACAAAAAAGTCACGCTGTGTTTCTAAATTAATGGCATATGGCCGACTGAAGCAAACACATTGTTGGATGTCGTTTTTTCTTGATGGAATATGAGGGATGCCATTTTACTACTTCTGTGGTGAGGGTGACCTTATTTTTCACCTCTGAAGCGGCTACCTCTTTCCAAAACATTTTTATCTATAATATATGCACTCTTTGTATCTGACTTTAAATACGGTTCGTATTTTGTATAATACAAACAAATTATTATGATACTAGGGGGCTACGCCCCCAGACCGCTACGCGGCCCAACTTCCCGAGGGCGCTTCGCGGACCTCTCGTGGGTTAATCTGGCATGAAATTAGACAAAGCTCGGAAAAACAAATTCATCACCGACCATATTAATGATTGTTGGGTGAAGCGGTTTATTCATTTTCGGTACTTCCAATCCGAGCTTTTCGGTAATATAAAGATATGTAAGCTAAAATTAAGCGATTGGATTCATAATTCAATTATAGATCATTTAATTATTCTTATCGAATTAAGAATGTAAAGCTATTAATAATTTATTTAATTTCTAGGTCAAGGTTTGTAAGTTGTATTATAAATAATAATTGAGTAATAATTTGATATTTTGGAAAGAGAAGATTTATAAAAAAATTGTAATATGAGCTCAGAATTACCGACNGCCGACGCCAATCCGCCAAAACACGTTTGATGGGACGAGATAACACCTGAACTGGATCAGACCAGATAACAATCGGTGTGTTAACGTTCATATTTTCCACGCCCGAATTGATTGACCTGGAACTCTCCTCGAATTACGCGCGGAACTGCGCGCAAGCGTCGGCCATGATGAATATCGCCGACGATGGAGCGACTCCTCTAACAAAATGTTCACCTGTGCCGTAGTATCGTTTTTGAAGCGGGAAGCTTAAAAAAACGGAAATTTCTTACGGAGATTGTGAAGTTATGAGTGCATTTCAGACTTTGCCGATGCGCTCATCGTGATTTTTGAGGCATTATCTACAAGAAACAACTCTTATTTTTGCTCTAGCAAAAGTTTGCAACAGGCCCATTATAGATCATTTAATTATTCTTATCGAATTAAGAATGTAAAGCTATTAATAATTTATTTAATTTCTAGGTCAAGGTTTGTAAGTTGTATTATAAATAATAATTGAGTAATAATTTGATATTTTGGAAAGAGAAGATTTATAAAAAAAATTGTAATATGAGCTCAGAATTACCGACGAAGTAGCAAGTTCCCGTTGGGTAGATCTTATTATTTTTAGCTAATCCATCAAAACATGGAGAATTTGCACACAAAAATTGTATTGCTTCATCTGAGAGTGCCACATAGGCTGAGTTCGCAGTATTTTTCATAATTTTTTTCTAGATGGGTAATTATAGAACAAAATA